CTGCTTAAATTAAAATTTGAATGAAACGTATTTGTAACACTACTAAAATATGACTTCCATTTTCTTCACTGGAAATATACATTTATTCTTTAATATAGCAATATCGGTTTGATTGAAAATAAACATAAACTAGTGCAAAACCTATGTCTAGTACCAAATAAAATTTCAAATAATAAATCCAATCATTATAATTCACAAAACTTTTTCTCTCTCTCTCTCTCTCTCTCTCCCTCTCACGTTTCTCGTTTATTAAAAATATTATTTTCATTTTCTTATATCCAAACATTCTTTTCTCGGTTAATAACAGTATCGATTTAGTTGAAAATAAGCATAAATTCAAAACTCAGGTATAATATTAAATGAAAAATTTAATCATTACAATTCATAAACATTGTTTCTGATATAGTATTATATACATTTCTATTTTTCAATAACGAATTCATATTAATATAGAATAGATATTAATTCCAGATACACTTTCAATACCCCCCCCCCCCCTCGTTAAATTTAAAAACAAATCTTCTTCTCACTTCGATACCAATTAACCAATAAAATTCATTATAATCGCATTCTCACATGATGAGCGCCGCCGAGTGCAGCTTAATTATATCGCTCGATTCTAATTAAAGCATTTTTATGGCCGAGATAAGAGAGGGGCCTGACGGGGAATGATTGCGGCACCGATCGAATAAATGAATGTCTTTTTTTACAATCGCACCACATCTCAATCAGGATCATCCGACGTAGCCGTGGAAAGAGAGGATGCACGTCTTTCTTGCTACTCTCCTCCGGATCATCTGCTGACCGTTCTCCGCCGGTTTAAACGAAGTCAAGGAAATTATCTGTAAATGGAGTGCCAAGAGTGTTGCTCGCAGAAAGCACTTTCAAACTGTTCTGCTGTTCTGGCATCGATTAAACGCTCCGCTCTCGTCTTTTACGATCTGCCGCGAATCACGGAGACATGCAGCATTGATTATGTCACATCGTCACGCGTTTTTGCGGATGCCATGCCTTGGCAAATGGCCACTGGAATGGTACCAACGTTCTCGGTGCAGCCCACCCTTCACCTTCGCCGCACATGCAATCGTTATGAATCACGTAACTTAATATTTTAATATTAAATCAATTAAACAATTTAATTAAACCAATCACTGTATTAATTGAATTAAATCATTCAATGTATTAGTTAAAATAAAATAAATAAATACAATTTATTAGATCTCAATGAATTTATTAATTTAATTTAATTAAAGAATTTATTAGCTCAATTCAATTAATTAACGATTTTAATGTTGAATTAGTATTTTCACATGGATATTGAAGTAGGGGTGTGCATGTTAGTATTTTAATATTGCACTTGAAGTATACATTAGTATTTCAATATTGAAACATATTAGTATTTAAATATTAAAATTTGAAGTACATATTAGTATTTAAATATTAAATTTGAAATACATATTAGTGTGTTAGTAAACGTCGGTATTTGAATTTTAAATTCGAAGTATGGATATTCAAGTATACATACATTAATCCTCGCAAGGCGCCGGCTGTGTCAATTTCGACACAGAGTATTTAAATAAAACATATAATTGTTACATTAGAAACAACAGGAAGGCTAATAAGCCTTCAAGAAATGTCTTGAAAAATATGTTTTGAAAAATTGCTGAATAAAGCTCGGAATTGTTATAAACATCGCACAAATAGTACAATTGTGAAAATGGTCGGTTGTCCGGTGGTTTGTTGTTGAATATCAAGTAAGGATATTCAAGTGTTATACAATTTTTATGTTACGTTTAAAATACGTATATTAAAGTATGCGTTAGTATTTTTCAAGTATACATTAATATCTTAATATTAAATATCGTCGAATTATTAATATCGGACTGTTCTCGTATTCTAGACATCAATAAACATACCCAACAATCTTGTAATTCACAATATAAATAATAATATGGAATTTACAACAATTTAGTAATTTCGAGGAGTATTTTGCGAAAATTGATAACAATTCGACCATAAGTAGCGCCTTCTTCGCGATCGTTGCGAACCCCGTAAAAAATGTCTGAGAAATGGTAACTTCCAGTGGAATTCGATGGGGTCCTTAATTAGGCGTCTGAAATGCATAATGCACCGTTGCGCCCAGGCGAATTCGCGAGCCTAGGAGCAACTCCGTGCATACAGCGAACGTTTTGACATGAGGCCTACACCGTAATCGGGGATAAACGGCGAATTGCATAATCGTTGCGATGCGGAAGACGTGTGCTGCACTCTATGCATATGTGTTTCTGCTCTTCAACACCGATGCCGGCCAACCAGAGAGGAATCTTTGATCGACGGCTTTGCTGCATGCTGATTAGGGAGCTATTCTAGTTTAGAGCGCAACCGGCTTTGCCGATTTTTTATCGGGAAATTACTGAAACCTTTCACTGTCGAACTTCTGCCGCCCGCTTTTGGCAGTATCTGAACGATGCCCACGAATTTTTTTCGACCCCGGGAGTCGTCAAAATTGGGTTCATCAGAAATGAAAACGTCCGAATGATAGCTACGACTTCATATCTCCTAGCACTCTAATCGATTTATCTTCTTGGTGATGCGTTAATGGTGAACTTTCGTGTACGTCCTTGTCAATGTCTCGACAGCGTTCATAAATTTGTTGTAAAAGAATCAAATCGAGATTCAGAATAAAATTCTGCTGAATTTTCTGTTATCAGGTTATCTAATAAATTTATTTTGTATTATTCATTATTAGGTTATGTTTCCGACGATGGCTTAACAATGTCCTCAAACTGTTGGGCAAAGAGAAAATCAAAATTGTACTTTTTTTGTACCGCAAAAGTCACTCGCAATCGAGAAATAAGGTTATTTCAAGCAACTTTTTCCTTTGCGCAAATGCAATCCGAGGCTCCGTTTACGAGTTATTAACGAAAAGAGGTGACAAATGGGAGGCGAGATCAGCTGGCGCGAGGCGGCGAAGCCAATGAGCGGAACTGGGCTTCGTGCGCTCGCCCGCCTCTCGCCAGCCGAGCTCGCCTCTCATTGGTCAGTGTTTTTCGTTAATAACTCGTTAACGATGCCTCGGAGAAAATTTTTGTAAAGGGAAAAGTTGCTTCGAATAACCTCAGGAACTCCTCTTTTCCCGATTGCGAATGACTTTTGGAACACCCTGTATATCCAGCATTTCTGCTGAATATCTTGTTATAAGATGGGTAATCAATTTCTCTCTTTTTGTTAAATATATATTACAAGATGGGTAATCAATTTCTCTC